CTCAATCTAGCTGCTACCCGCTACGCCAGTCCGCGGGCCACGGGCACAGAGTAACTTAACTTGTAACTTACTCACTTTTGTTCTTCCACTTCTGCCTGCTGACTCCCGATTCCCGGAGTACCTCTTCTAGCCTCGCTGTTCTTTTGAGGTTAGTTAACATATAGTCTTCCTTTGACTGTGATTAATGGAAACCTGGTTTGGTTTGAAAGCGTTTAGGGTTAAGTTTAACAATGATTTGTCTAATTCTGTCTCGAATTCTGTGCTGTTTGAGCCCGATGAGGATTATTAGGTTTTTGTTATTCCATAAATGCGGACATTTCTGTTCTTTGTTTTTGCCCAAAGAAGCAATTTACTCAGAAAATTCGTTAGGCAAAACTTTAAGTACAAAGTATTTACTCTAATACTCTTACAAATAAGTGAGAGAGATCACCTGTTGTGTTTTTATATATGAGTGATTCCACCATTATCAATGAAAATGCTCCCCAAAATTGGTCTTGATAGTTGCAGTTTTATTTTGTTTAATTTTGGCTGGGACTGCATGCTTGAAACAGCTCCTTCCTCCCAACCTATAACCTATCAATCTGTGACCATTTGATACAAATTAAGATTTCAATGTATTGTTTTTATTTTAATCAGAAGACATGTTTCCGAAAAAGGGGATGGGGGGCTGATGACAGGCTGACTTCCATTGCAAGGACTCATGGGTTTGATACATTAGCAATCATAGTACTTAATGGAGGAATCACACACAAAGGAATTTTCAAAGGTTCCTCATCATGAACATGTTTTGTAGGTATCCTTTGACTTGGAAGTGATTTGTACTCTAATTTAATTCGTCTACTTAATAAAATTGAAGAATTGAAGTCAATATATTACCAATCGACCTATGTCGCCCTTTAAGGGAAGAGAGGCGCTCGCCCCCGAGCCTGCTTACACGGTCGTCTCGTAGATGACGATCTCGATGACCCTGCCGTCGTTGTGGGCCCGGCGCCGTCTCTTGTCCTTCTCCTGGTCCTGGTCCCTCCTGCGCTGCCCCAGCAGACCCCGCTCCCGCTCCACCTCCTCCCGCTCCCGCTCGGCCTCGGCCTCCTTCCTGGCCTTCTCCTGCATCTCGTACAGGACCTTGGTGACGGCCTCCTCCCACTTGCGTTTGGCCTCGGCGTCGTCCTGGCCTGCCGCGGCGAGGGGAGCGGCGCCGTCCCTGGCGCAACCTGCGGGCATTCGCGGTGGGGTGAGCGGGGCGAGTACCACGGGTACACCTGACGCCCTCGGTGGAGGCACCGCGAGGGACTCGCCTTGGGGCACGAGGCGCGCGAGGCTGACGGCCGCCAGGATGCCCTTGAGGTGGACGTCCGAGACGGTGCCGAGGCGGCGGAGCGCGTCGCCGAGGACGGGGCCCGACTCGGACAGCGCCAGCTGCAGGCGCCGCCACGAGGACGCGTACTGGCGCCGCACCAGCTCGATGATGGTGGAGGTGAGCGCCAGCCCCATGAGGATGTACAGCGTGCACAGCAGCGTGTAGGAAGGGTGGCCTGCGGCAGGTCAGAGGTCACACAGATGCACGTCGCTCTGCCCTCCACCGCCTGCGGCCGCAGGTTGAATGGTAGAATACTCACGCGGCACCAGGTCGCCGAAGCCGATGGTCGTCATGGTGATGAAGCAGAAGTAGAAGCCGTCGAAGAAGTCCCAGCCGTCCTCCCACAGGGTGAACATGGCGGCGCCCGCGGCCAGGTACACGAACAGAAGCAGCACGGCGCCAAGGGCTATGAGCCCGTTGCGCCACATGGCCGCCTTGCCCCCGTCGTCCAGCGACCACCTGCACCAGGCAGAGAGGAAGAGTTGGGTGGGGAGGGGAGGGCCAGGGGTAGCCGCCTGGGCGAGCACACTCACCACGACCTGCACCACCCCCAGCACGGGATGGCGGACACGGCTGACGCCAGGAGCACGCCCAGGTCGGCGATGACGCTCAGGGTGAGGGGGATGCCGATGAGGGCGAAGCTCAGGCAGAACACCCGGCCTGACAGCGTGACCGGGGCGATGTTCCCGTACCCTGTCGGCAGAATGAGAGAGGGAGGGGGAGGGGTGTGCTGGATCGGGAGGGTGTCGCGCGAGGTCCCCCCGGCCTAGAGAGCAGGCTGAGGGCTTACCGATGGTGGTGAGCACGGTCGAGGCGAAGAAGACGCCCTGCAGCAGCGTCCACCGCGGCGGGGTGTCCACGGACGGCGAGCCCGTGAGGGCGGGGACCTCGACGCCGCCGCGGGACGCCTCGTGAACCACGACCTCGTACTCGTGCAGGCGGCGCGCAAACGAGGCGTGCGTGTCGTTGGCGCCGTCGGCCTGCATCAGGGCGGCCAGCAGCCCCTTCCGCCCCTCCAGCACGGCCGCCTGAAGCGTGTGCAGCCGCTCGGCCTCGGCGGGGCCCTCCAGGGCGCGAAACACCTGGCAAGCACAATCATTACGCACGAGCTAAAATCAAAGAAACTGCTGCACCCCCCCCCCCCCACACACACACACACAAACGATGAGCCATTTTAATTTTCTTTCCCCTCAGAAATTCAGTTTTTGGTAGATTCGGCATGATAACCTAGGCTGTACTGTGTCAGCGCCTATATGGACCACCTAACCGAAGGGCGCCGCGTGAAAGGTGTCTTCGGCGCCCGTTTCTGTGGGAGGAGGTCGTGGTGACGTCTCCCCGGAACCGCCGCTCCGGCCTACACCGGAGAAACATGCCAATGACGACTATTCCCTTTCCTTTTCAGATAGCACCATGCCACTGACGTGCGACGTCTGCAGCCGAAGGTGCCGGTCGCAGAGCGTGCTCACCGTGCACATGCGGACCCACACTGGTGAGAAACCGTTTAAGTGCAGCCTGTGCTCGGAGAAATTCAGTGATCCTAGCAGCTCAGCAAGACATTTTAAGAGGCACACCGGAGAGAAACCATTTGAGTGCTCCGTGTGTGACAAGAGTTTTTCCGAATCTAGTAGTCTACGAGGCCATCTGCGAACCCACACCGG